CGTGGGGGTGTGGCAGGGCGAGGACCTGGCTTAGCAGCGACCAGCTCGCGCTGCTGCTGGAATCTGGCTTCCCAGGTCATTCCTGCGGGGCCCGAGCAGCCTCTCGGAGCCTGTTGCCTCCTACGTGCCGTGGGAGTAAGCAGCCTGCGTGGTTGGGGCCGTGACAGCAGCTGTCAACCACTTCTCGCTCTGCCCTTAACCAGATGGGCACTGCTGACGGGGGTGGCTATTCCCAGCTGGAGAGGGTCTTGCTTGACCGGTGGACGCCGGGCGAGGTGCGGAGGCGAAGAGAAAGGGTGGTTTTCTGACCTCGCGTCCTTCGGCTCAGGTCGCTTTTCATCAGTGTGGACTTTGAAGACTTGGGTTTGGGAGTAGATTGGGATCACCACCTGCCTCCACCTGCTGCCAAGACTGCGGTTGAGAGCCTCCCCAGGACAGTCATGAGGGGCTGTCGGTCTGGTGAGAACACGGATTCTTTCTGCTCTTTGAGGCAGGTCTGCCAGACCTCACTCCCCATTGCCCCCCTCAACCCCCACCCCCCAAGCCAGACTGTGGACTGGCCCCTCGGTTTTCCAGGCCAGGTGACCTGTAGGAGTGGGAGCTGGGAGGTGGGGCTGGGGCAGCTCTCCTGATCAGCACTCCCTCCTAAAGAGCTCAAGTGCCCCGTGTGCCTTTTGGAATTCGAGGAGGAGGAGACTGCCATTGAGATGCCTTGCCATCACTTCTTCCATTCCAACTGCATTCTGCCCTGGCTAAGCAAGGTACTGCTCACCCTGCCCAGTTCTCCAGCCCCTTTATTTTTATGAACTGTTGGGGGAATCAGAGAAGGAAGAGGGGTCAGGGTGAGAATTGGGAGCAGGGGATGGATATTAGCTTATAACAGTGGTTCTCAACCTGTGGGTCACGACCCCTTTGGCGGTCGAACGACCCTTTCACAGGGGTCGCCTAAGACCAACTTGCATATCAGATATTTACATTACAATTCATAACAGTAGCAACATTTCAGTTATGAAGTAGCAACGAAAATAATTTTATGGTTGGGGGTCACCACAACATGAGGAACTGTATTAAAGGGCCAGAAGGTTGAGAACCACTGGCTTATAAAGACCAGACCTGGGCTAGAACACTGCCGTTTTTTCCCCCCAGACAAATTCCTGCCCCCTCTGCCGCCATGAACTGCCCACTGATGATGATACTTATGAAGAGCACAAACGGGATAAGGTAGGAGCTGGTGGTAAGTGGAGGGGGTGGCTCCCTCTGGCTGTCCTCCATGCTCTCATCTCCCAACTTGGCAAAGCTGGGTAGGCCTCGGGTCTCCTGGCTCTGGCTGCGTTCCCAGTAACGTTGGTGAGGAGCCCCCAGATGCCAGGGGCCTGAACACAGTGTGAGCCAGTTCCATGATAGCTGGCCCATCCGTTCGCCCACAGGCCTTCAGATATGGCCCCTGCCTCTTTCCTTCAGGCTCGCAAGGAGCAGGAGAAGCACCGACTGGAGAGCCTGCATGGAGCCATGTACACATGAGGCAGCTGGGGCCAAGCACTGGCCCTCCACAACGTCTTCCTTCTGCAGCTCAAATCCTCATTAAAGAATTCTTTACCCACCGTGCGGCTGCATTGCTTAGTGGCCTGGGCAGGGGCACTGCACCTGCCACTAGGGCCCTGCTGCTACTGGGGAAGGTGGGCCTGGGCTGCAGAAGACACCAGGCTGCATACTCTTCCCTTGCTAAGCCTGCTGGCCTGAGGGCAGTGGAGCCCAGGCCAAGAACCTGGCCACTGGGTCTATGTGTTCCTGGCTGGAAAGCAGAATATGTCACCATCTGGCACCCAGTAGATATTTAAAGATGCGCTCCTTTCCCCCTGTAATTTTTAGTCAACCTTGAAATTCCAGGCGCTTTCTTTTGGTTCCTAACATTTTAAAGCCGTTCTTTACATGCTTCCCACCCCCATCCCCTAAGCAATCAAATTTCAAACCAGACTCTGAGTGGGGGAAGGAAGTATGAAATGATCAGGTCAGTCAGTTCTTTAGCCTAAAAAGGGCTTCAAGCCCTCGAGGGATGTTGGGCTAGTACCTGTCATCCTTTGTTGGAGTCAGCCCTGCTCTCAGAGCACCGGGCACTCAGGACTCTCTGCAGGGGCATTCTTTGCTGAGGGAAAGCTGTCCTGAACCAGGCCCTCTGACTCTCCAGAACAGACTACAAACATGCAAATTAGAATTTTTTTAATAGATATATAAAAAAAAGTACTAAAATACCCACATGGTTCTCCTGTATACTTGCCCTAAAGCATATAAGGGGCAGAGTGAAGAATCCCAGTGCAGTCCAGTGGGCCCCAAAGTGGGCCTTCCCACAGACTAAGGTGTGCTCACCCTCCCCTGCCCTCCCACCCCCCATCACTATCCCTCTTGCTGTTCCCAGCCCCCAGTTCCTGCAGCAGGAAACCCCAGTGGTCTGGCCTCGGCACTGGGTATAAAGGCACCTGAAGGGGTGGCTGGGTGACTGAGGATGTGTGACCTTTAAACACAAAGACAATACTAGAGTGGGGAGCGGGTCATGCGCAGCTCAGGCAGCTGCCAGGGCCCGCTCCTGTATGGCACAGGTGGATGTGGGATGGCCACTCCTCCAGGAGTGAGGAAGCCTATATCCCAACAGAATACTTTCTCAAAATTGTTTTTGGTATAAAATGAATGCAGAGAAGACATGGGGTGGGGAGTAGTGGAGGCTGGGCCAGCCACCCTCCCCAGCCCTCAGATCATGGCGATGCTCTCAGGGGCACAGTTGAGGTGAGTGGAGGTGCTACTGCTCCCGGAGGACTTGCAGGCCCGGCCAGCAGGCTGCAGCGCAGCCACCAGTGTCTCTGAGGAGACTGCCCCAAACTCATAGCAGAAGGTGCCGTAGAAAATGAGGATGTCGATGACAAACACCCACTCGCACAGGGCTGCTCCGTGCTGCAGCTGAGAGCTCTCGTGGATGAAGAAGACGCCGCCTGGAATGGGGCTAAGGAAATGTTCAGTAGGACCTGTGGGGACTGGAGACACACCTGCCTTCCTGGATATATAACTAGGTCGGGGCAAAGGGCGGGGCCTGAACTCCCAGGAGAGGGAGCAGAGACCACCCTAGATGGTGGTATCTGGAAGGTATGCCGGTCTCCCTCACCTTGGGTGAGAGAAGGGCTGGGCTAGAGGATTTCCTGGCTGCCCTGTCCTGGAAGGATACTGAGGACCAGGACGACAAAGGCGATGGCGGCCAGCACAATCCGCAGGTAGGCCATAGCCAGGTCCTGGGGGGCGGTGGCTCCATGGTAGGAGAGGACACAGTGCAGGCAGACAAACAGCAACCCGGCGGGGAAGGCCACACCAGCTCCGATGTAATGTAGAGACTTAGCATGATCCACCTGGGCCCAGAGTGAGGTGCTGATCAGTGAAGCAGCCCTGCTCCTCCACCCCCTTCACCTCTTCTCTGTCCCTCTTCTTCCCTTCTCTTTCCCTCCCAGGCCCTCCTCCCCCACCCCCAACCTTGAGGGGCTGCCCCTGCAGCTTGGGTCAACCCTCAGGAGACAGGACCCCCCGCAGACAGCCATGCCCTTTTAGGGGACGTTCAAGAGGTGTGTGTGGGGGTATACCTGAAAGTTTCCAACCACCACGAGGCCTGCAGCGTTGGTGCAGCCTGTGATGAGTGTTGTGGTGTTAATCCAGGAATGCCGACTCTGCTCCAGGAGCTGCCCGTAGAGCAGGAGGCAGAGCAGGGCCACTGGGGAAGAGCGTGGGTGGAGCCAGCATTAGCGCCTTCCTCTGGCCCAGCCCGTCCAGGAGCCCGCTAGCTCTCACCCCTCCAGACACTTTGAGGGCCAGAAGGGAATAGATGGGCGGGTGGTGAACTGGGTTTCCTCAGGCTCCAGCCAGCAGGGTGGCTGTGTGGGAGTCAGCCTGTAGTCTTTAAGGAGCAGGGAGAGAAGTGGTCCCTTTTGCTTTAGCCCTTGGTTGGGTGGGCTGCGTTGAGAGCAAGGGTTTTCTGGGCCCTTCTGGGGGGAAGGGTGTGTGGGGTGGGCTGGACTGGGCTGGCTGGGGGCTAAGGGCACAACTCACCCATGAAAGCACCCACGTTGCCAATGAGGCTGAAGAGGCAACTCTCTGGGGGATATGTGCCGCACTTGCTGAGGGGAGGGGGCAAGGACAAAGTGAGAGGGGCAGGAGCACCAGAGGGCCCCCATTCTGGCCCACTTGCCTTCTCTTGCTTCATCTGCGCCCAATTTAAGCCACCGAGAAGGACCAGTGTCTTTCACAAACAAATGGTCCTTATTGGTACCCCCTCCCCTACAAAAAAAAGCAGAGCTCATGTGTGTGACAAGTTAGGGAGTACCCAAAATTGCTTAGCAAACCCCAAGACTCCTTGAACTCCCTGAGACTGCCAAGGCCTGTGGCTGGTTTGGCTTTCTTGGAGCCAGAACGTGGGCCAGGCAATCAGAGGGCTTGAGCTTAAACCCAGGTATCTCGCCTGGCTGGTGTGGCTCAGTGGTTGAGTGTCGACCTATGAGCCAGGAGGTCGAGGTTCAATTCCAGTTGGAGCATATGCCCAGTTGTGGGCTCAATCCCCAGTGTGGGGTGTGCAGGAGGCAGCCAATGATTCTCACCTTTGGTGTTTCTATCCTTTCCTCTCTGAATTCAATAAAAATATATAAAAAATTTTAAAAAATCTAGGCAGCTCCACTAACTAGCTGTGTGACCTGAATGGACGACATACCCAGTTTCAGTTTCATTTCCCATAAAATAGAACAATAGCTGCCCCAATGCTGGGAGGATTAGACGTCATGCATGTAACGTGTTCCGTACAGTGCCTGACACACAGTCATTGGAAAGCAGTACTGTTACTAAGTGCTCTTAATATAATTTCATTCCTGTGAAACCCTTTGGGACCGGCCTTTGCTTGAGGGGCTTGGCGGGGAGTCTATCAGGGCCTTGGGTCTCACTGATCTGCCCAGTTTCCAGGCCTTACCTGATGAGGGGGACATCGTCCAGGGTGCAGCAGCTTTTGGGACCCCCCTGCTCAGTAGGGTCAGGAGAGCAGGACTCGTTGTAGGACCTGGAGGCAGGACAGAGTAGACTGGGGGAACCCTTTGGCCTGTACTTCAGGCCGCTCAGAGACCAACCTCCCGGCCCACCCTTATCAGGGGCAGGAGAGCCCACTTCCCAGGGCCTGCCTGAGACAGAAGCCAAGGGGCAAAGGGATGGTGGAAAGCAGTGGGCACGAAGCCATGCCTGGGGGGCAGGCGCGCCAATGTCAGAGAAGAGCAGTGACCCAGGGTCTCCGTCTGGCTCGCAGCAGCCCCGGCCCAAGAGGGAACAGAGATGAAGGGAGCTTTAGAGTGAAGCTGTCTGCAGAGTACGCCATACCAGTTCTCCACAGGGCACACGTGGCGGTTCATCACGGCCATGGCATACCTGTGGGAACAGAACCGTCACCCCATGACCCCAGCCCAGCCCAGCCTTCCCCCACCGACTATTCTCCCTGGATTCTGGCCCCGTTCATAGTCATTGCCCCTGTTAGGGACTCAAGTTGGGATGGCCCTGATGCCACACAGAACCCACAGCAACGGCCACAAACTAGAGGACCTCTGGAAGTCGCCCTGGCTAAAAGTATGTCTGTCAGGGCCACCTTGCTGGACAGCAGTGGTGCCAGCCTGTCCCAAGGGACTTGTCCAGGCATCAGGCCAGGGTTTGAAGACAGCCAGAGTGACCGTGGGTATCACCCTGGGGCCTGCAACAGGACAAGGGGCGTTGTGTGTGCTATCAAGCTCCTGTTGGGTCCTGGCTGGGCCCTGTCCCTCTTCAGCCTGGGCCCATTTTGTCTCCTAGTTGTCGCCCCCCCCCCCCCCCCCCCCCTCCAGTCCATAGGCCAGTGATGGAGAATGCTGATAAGCTGACGGGAAGGAGGATCCAGGCGGTCATGAGGGAGGGGAGCCAGGGTGGTAGTGGTGTGGGAGGGATGACAAGAGGTAGGTGGGGAAGAGGGGGCAGGCCCAGCTACCTTAAGATACTTCGCCAAAACCATCAACTGCCCCGGCCTGGTGGAGAGAGATGGGTCAAAGTCCAGGGTCCAGTGAGTGGTGAAAGCCGCGGGGGCGGGAGGGGGGGTGTGGGTGGGAAAAGGAAGGTAGTCATCACCTGATTCGGAGCTCCCGCCGGGACTCGGAGTGCCCACCCTGAGCTCAGCCCACGCCAGAACGTGGCCACCCTCTGACACCCACCGGGGGCCCCCGCGTCCCACCCCAAAGTCACCGGTACTCAGGGGCTAAGGTGGCGCCGTAACATCTGGACAGGGAGTCACCCGCCCGCGCCTGAAGGAGCGGGGCTGGCAGCCAAGCAGCAGTGAGGACGGTCAAGGGGCCAAGCCACAGGCAAGCC